AACACGCAGTCATTTGGTGAGCAGCCCTTTCAACAGTTGGAAGTCAGATAGAAAATAAAAACAATTAAGAAAACTAAAATCACCAAGTTGTTTCATTCGTTTTCCATTTCATCTCATAACACAGCTTCTCAACATTTCACTGACAAGCCAAGCAAAAGGCAGGAGAGCGAACAGAAGGTAAAGCTGAGCCTTCCCTAAGTCACAAAGATCTCCAACAGGGCAAAGGCAAGGCATGGACCACAGAACCTTTCGGCTTTATCAATAAAATGTGTAGCAATGAAGCAACAATGAATTAGGGGACTTGATGCCAATGAGCAGCTTGGACAGCCAGCAGTTGACAGGGAGAGGTTGTTCACAGAGTCTTGGGCCAACTTAGAAACAACGGCTAGCTTTCCACTTCCTCCTCTGGCCTACTGACATCTGATAGCCACCCCAACACTTCCAGGGATCAAATGACTGTCCTGCCGAAGGATTAAGGGCCATCCTATCCCCTTGGCTTGGACACTGGAATTTTCATCAAAATGACTTTGGGTGTGTTGAGAAGGGAATTGGGCAATGAGCATCAGGCTTTAAACATCTCACCTGGAGAACCAACCAGAGGGCCCCCTGGGGAAGGGCTTCCTTCCAGACCTCCAGCAGAGCCATAAGCTTCCCCCAAGCTTCTCTCACATGGGATTAACCTCTAGGTGTGGTGATATTGTGTTCCCCAATATATTGTGCACCTTAATAAACTTGTCTGGGCTCAGAGAACAGAACAGCCACTAGATATAGAGGCCAGAAAATGGTGGCACACACACCTTTAATCCTAGCATTATGAAGGCAGAGATCGTTTGGATTTCTGTGAGTTCAAGGCCACACTGGAAACAGCCAGGCATGGTGACACATGCCTTTAATCCCAGAAAGTGATGGCAGGAAGCAGAAAGGTATATAAGGTGTGAAAACCAGGAACTAGAGCCTGGTTAAGCTTTCAGGCTTTTAGCAGCAGTTCAGCTGAGATCCATTTGGATGAGGACTCAGAGGCTTCCAGTCTGAGGAAACAGGATCAGCTGAGGAACTGTCGAGGTGAGGTGAGGTGGCTGTGGTTTGTTCTGCTTCTCTGATCTTCCATCATTCACCCCAATACCTGGCTTCGGGTTTGATTTTATTAATAAGACCCTTTAAGATTCACGCTACATCTAGGTAGACACAAAGCAAGGACTTCACAGGTCTCAGGCAGGGAGAGTGGGAGAAAACCAAATAGAACAGGCTACTGCCAGCCAGATCTCTGCCTCTTCCAAGGCTCTGTGTCTGCTGGGCGGGCAACTTTTTTGCCCTCCCTAGTCATCATCTTTGAAGGAAGGAGCAGCCTCCCTTCTGTGCTGTGTGATTTTAGTTTTCTTTTTTTTTCTCGTATAGACCAGGCTATCCCAGAACAAGGCAGAGGATGACGACTTTGGACTCCTGGTCCTCCTGCCTCTACCTTTCAAGTGTGTGAGCAGTCATTTTAAGGAGTTTCTTCCGTACATGGAGCCAAGGCTGCTCTCACAGGGAGGCTGAAGGCTGCAGCCTAACCCAGGTGAGCAGGTTCCAGCAAACCTGAGGGAGGGCAGCAGCCTCAGACAGGTCACGGCACCCAAACTCTGACAACTAATACACATGTGAAGAGAATAGGTTTCTGAGACTGGATAGATTCTGGGGTAGACTTGGCAGGGGGGCAGAATCACAGGATGGTTCTCCTGTAGGGCTCCTTTTTTTCTTTTTTGAGACAAGGTCTCATTTCATAGCACTGGCTTTCCTATAACTCACAGAGATCTGGCTGCCTCTGCCTCCCGAGTGCGACTGCACCTGGCTGCCTAGGATTCTCTTTTACTAACACCACCAGTTGCGGCATAGGAACTAGTGATAGCTGAAACCCGAGGTGGAATTTGGCAGGAGTGCTCTGCCCAGGCAACATTGGAAGTTCCGTTGGTCTTAGTTCATACCTCAAAGGGCGTGTTTCTTTACGCTTTGAAAGTCCCCCCCAGCCATTTTCAGGTCTCGGTTTTGAGACAGAGTCACTCTGTAGCCAGGCCGACCTGGAACTGCTAGCGAGTCCCTTGTCTAGGCCTCCCGAGTGCCTCCATTACAGGAGTGTGCCACCATGCCTGGACAGATCACAGGAAGAGCCTCTTTTCCATTGGTGGTTAGTGTATGTGTGTGTGTGTGTGTGTGTGTGTGTGTGTGTGTGTGTGTGTGTGTGAAGTAGTGAGGGCTGGCTGTGGTCAGGGTGCCCCATATAAAACCTGGGCTGTGAGATTCACAGATGACCCCAGCCCCAGCTGAGGTTTCCCATCCCACCACCCCCACCTTTTAATCTGATAGCCATCTTCTGTGGGACCAGCTTTTCACTGGACAATAATACAGATTACTGATGGATTTTTTTTTTCTTATTTGGGAGATTAAGGAGGTGAATATCCCTCCAATGGCTGCTAGTTTCTAAAATACTGGAGCACAGGAGATTTTGTGGTCAGATGTTCACTGTGTGCACCAGACAGCCTGAGAGAGCATTTCGTTGGGTATGAGAGTGAAGAAAGACAATTATGGAGAAAGGTAAGGGAGGGATTGTGATGGCTTCCGACATTCCTAAGTCAGCTATGGAAAGCACCCTCTTTTTACTGTATCAACGACTTGCTTTTTACTCTAACTATGTGGGTTTATGTCACTTGTACAATGTACAAGAGATCTGAATAATTTATGCCAATAAAGTTAGCCTCTTTTTTTTTTGAATAAAAAGTTACCAAGGAAGAATAAAATGACAGTAAAGAGTTGATAAGAGAGCATAGGCAAAAAAATACCAGTCAGGCTGGGGAGATGGAGTCACAACCTTATAGAACCAGCACTGGGAGCTGGGAACAGACATGTCCCTGTGGCTCATTGGACAGCTAGTCTAATTGGTAAGTGCATGTGGACACACACACACACACACACACACACACACACACACACACAGAGAGAGAGAGAGAGAGAGAGAGAGAGAGAGAGAGAGAGAGAGAGAGAGGATTATTTTTTCTGTCAGGAACAGGCATTCTCAATCTGTGTTGGGATGAGACAATTGACCAGCAGTTGTAAACCAAATTCAGGACTGTGCCCACATCTCTGCTTAGGAATGCTCAGCTGTGTGTGGCCATTAGGACATGTAGAGTGCTATAGCTCTCCGTCTTTTTCAGTGAGTTTAGAAGAGGAAAGAAATATTCGACCCTTTTCATACTATACCCTACATCCAAAGCCCACAGGAAATGACAGTTGGATGAAATTATTGTGCTCTATTTTTATCCATCTGAAGGAAAGACATCAAAATTTCTACTGAAAGAAAACCATCAGGTACTCAGAAAGTTCAAGACTGAATGAATATACTGTTTTAATATATATGTGAACCATTCTAATGCATACACATACACTATTGCAATCCATGCATGCACTACTATAATCCATACATGTACTAATATAATCTATGTATGCACCTTTGTGATCCATGCATGAACTATTCTAATCTGTGCACTATTGTGATCCATGCATGCACTACTGTAATCCATGCATGAACTGTTCTAATCTGTGCATGCACTATTGTAATCCATGCATGCATTATTGCAATCCATGCATACACTACTCTAATCCATGTGTACACTATGTATTGAGACTGATATACAGTGGTTTCTGATTCTCTAGTGAGTTTCCCTGCTGCACACACTTCGAGTGTGTCCTCAAGTTTACTGCTGAGTGTTTGGCATGTCCTGGAGAATCCTCTCATAGAGATTCTCTGGCTCCTGGACTTGGTTTCGGGTGCTTCAGTTTCTCTTGGATTCATCTTCAGTATCAAACTGTGGCCATGACAATGACCATGTGCTTTTTTTTCTTGAGTCCACCTAATGAATCAGTAAGCATGAAGATGGCCTGAGCACTCAACTACAACTTACTGTTATCACAAGAAATGCAGAAGAGTGATGTTGCCATGCAATACAATGTTGCTATCTGGTTTCTTTTAAATATCTCTGAGAACAGTTGAAATAGACCCAAAATAAACAGCATGTTTATGGGCTAGAAGATTCAATACTTGATATTCCAACTTCTGCTGGATTAATTTATGAAGTCAATGTTATAGTGAAATTCTAATCTTTTTTTTAGGAGGTTAAAATTGGTAAGATTATAAGATTCACATAAAAATACGAAAGGCAAGGAATAGAAAGGGTGGCCTCCATGTAAAATAAACATGAACTGTTTATATTTCTAACATCAAGATTTATGAAGATACTGCAAGTAACTGAGAGAATATGATATCAGTATAAGAGCAGACAAATTTCCCACTGGAACTGAGTAGGAAAATTACAGCTGGCCATTGTTCCTACTTCAGGAGGCAAACTTGTTAAAAACAAGAATCAGTCCTGTAAGATAACAGCCATACAATCAAGAAAACAAAAGCAAGTCCTCTGCTTATCAAAAGACGTGCTTGTGGATTGAGAAAGCAGTTTGAGCCAACTGTCTGATGAAGGACTCATATTCATGAGGTATCAGGAAATCCCACAGACAGTAAGAAAGAAACAACTCGAGAGAGTGGGTAGAAAGGCGGCCAAAGTGGATATCCACATAGATGAACTTGGATTCTGGGGACCTCAAATCTGGTCCTCAAGCCTGCATGGCGGGTGCTTTGCCAGCCAGCTGTCTCACCTCTCACATCCCACACTGGGATGTGAGAGGTGTTCGTGAGTGCGTATACTTTCTCTACATGGACTTTAACATTTCAGACACTCGCTTCTCACTTAATGAAAAGTTTGCCCAGCTTAAAGAATAAAGGGGAAAATGGATCATTCTTAAAAGACAAAACTATTTTTATGTTAAAATGTCAGTAAAAAAAATTATGAAGCCCCAAATCAACTTTATTCCTTCACATCATACTGTTAAACTAAGAAAATAATATCACATTTGCTTTTAAAATAGGATCGTCCTGATATTTATTTTACTATCTATGTGTGTTTCTGCATGTGCAGGTACCTGTGGAGGCAGAAGAGGCAATCAGATCTCCTGGAGCTGGAGTTACAGGTGTTGTGAGCAGCCCCACATGGGTGCTAGGAACCGAACGTGGGTCCTCTGCAAGAGCAGTGAGAGCTTTGATCAAGCACCGAGCCTGTCCCCACCCAGGAAATGTGTCTTAACTCTGGGAAGAGTCTCACTTGTGCTGGAATTTGATCCTGAATTTCAAACATCTTTTACAAAAAGTGAAAACTGTAAGCAGAAGACGTAATCAGTGTAATTTGCATATTAATTTTTTTTTTGTCTGTGAAGTTTGTAAAAACCACTGTGTGTGCTCACCCCTGCCTCCAACCTCCTCAGGTATGTGCTCACCCCTGCCTCCACCCTCCTCAGGTATGTGCTCACCCCTGCCTCTACCCTCCTCAGGTATGTGCTCACCCCTGCCTCTACCCTCCTCAGGTATGTGCTCACCCCTGCCTCCACCCTCCTCAGGTATGAGCTCACCTCTGCCTCCACCCTCCCCAGGTATGTGCTCACCCCTGCCTCCACCCTCCCCAGGTATGTGCTCACCCCTGCCTCAATCCTCCTCAGGTTTGTGCTCACCCCTGCCTCCACCCTCCTCAGGTATGTGCTCACCCCTGCCTCCACCCTCCCCAGGTATGTGCTCACCCCTGCCTCCACCCTCCTCAGGTATTTCTGTCTGTTTACTTCTTATTTCCTCTTTGTCTTCATTTCTTAACTTTCCCAAGTCTGTTTACTTGAGTGATAGCTCTAACCATTTCTCACAGTCCGAGCCTCCTCTAGACTGGATGATTCACCAGTTGGAAACTAGCTCAGGCTCCCAGGATAATTGTGGAATGTTAGTTCACTGCGCAGAGTGCAAGTTCAGCACGAAAGGGTGTGAGACATGAACTCCAGAAGAAGGCAAAAGTTAAAAGAAGTCAAGTTCAGTTACAGGAAGGAGTCTCCACCCCAAGCTGGTATACATGAAAGAAAAAAAAAAAGCCCTAAACTAACCATTTTACATTCCAAGCTTTCTGAGATGTTATGATTTGCCTCTAAGTTAACAAATAAAACCAATTAACCTGTGTTATCTGCTCAAGAGTCAATACAGAAACACGATCTATTTAAAAAGCACATTGTGGTGATGATAAATTAAAACCCAAACATTCCTGGAGCCAGGAAACTAATCTTAGAAGCTTCTAAGTTATAGTCTACATTAGGGGATTCTTGATTTTAATTTTTTGGGAGGAAATCGAGTAATTATACTACTGAGAACACTGTGTTTTGACCACTTCAGTACTTAGAATTCATTTCTTAAGAAAAAAATCATAAGCTTTAGGGTACTATGGGGTCTCTAAAGATAAACACTTATGTCATGCTGCCTAATGTGGAGGCCTAGGTCAGAAGGTTGCTATAGTAAAGAGTACCTGATTACAGTGGTTTGAATAACCTCAAATACACAACAATCATTTAAAACACAAGTTTCATTTAAGATCTTATGGCTGGCCAACTTGTATGCCAAGACATGATAATTTCAGGATTTTGTAAACAGAGAAATAGTTATTAAGTGTTAATGAGTCTAAAACCCCAAGTTTCAGGGAGTTAGGAGTTACTTGCTCAAGGTTTCATGGTTTAAAAAGTCACAGAACAATGTAAAAATTATTTTAATTCTTCTTTTAAATGTGTATGTCTTAAAAGTGTTGTTACTTCAGTGACCCAAACAGAACAATCTCACACACACACACACACACACACACACACACACACACCCCAAAAATGAAAAACCAGAAAACAAAACAACAATAATAATAGCAACAACAACAATAACAACCCAAACCCATCTGTTTTGCTGTGGGATGTCTTTCTGTATACTGTGAATATGTGTTGCTCTCATTGGTTGATAAATAAAGCTGTTTGGCCAATGGCAAGGCAGAATAAGGTTAGGTGGGACATTCAAACTGAAGAAGGGTGAAGTCGGGCAGACCCTGCGAGCAGCCACCAGGAGAAGCAAGATGTGAGAGAACAAGCAATACCATGAAGCCAGGTGGCAAACATAGATTAATAGGAATGGGTTAAGTTGTTAGAGCTAGTAAGTAATGAGCCTAAGCTATAGGCCATACAGTTTGTAATTAATATAAGCCTCTGTGTGTTTATTTGGGACTGAATGTCTGGTGGACCAGACAGGACACAGGGAAACTTCTAGCTACACTATTTCTTTATAACCCTGGGTTCAGGGTTGTAAATTTGAATAGAAGAAAATGGAAGTGTGTTGGCCTGGTGTATTTTCACACTTCTGTGTGGTAAAAAGGAAGATTCAGCAGCAAATGAGGGCAGGGCACACCCACACTCCTTTCTGAAAGGACTGTAGCCTTAGTGCCAGCGAAAGCACTATAGTAGTGCTCCTCAACTTCCTAAGGCTGCTGCCACCCTTTAATACAGTTCCTCGTGTTGTGGTGATCCCCAACCATAAAATTATTTTGGTATTACTTCATAACTATAATTTCACTACTGTTATGAATTGTAATGTAAATACCTGTGTTTTCCAACAGTCTTAGACGACCCCTGTGAAAGGGTCCTTTGACCTCCAAAGGGGTTATGACCTACAATTTGAGAACCACTGCACTATAGGACTCTCATCACAGCTAAACTCTGGTAGCGCGCTGTTATAGAGATTCCTTGAAGTGTGTGCGCACACTTGTTATTATACCCAGCTTTGGACAAAACAGTTGACAAACACTGGGAGTAACCCTACCAAGGATCACACAAGCAGCCATGATCATAAAACAAGATCTTGAAGCCATTAAGTGGACAGTTATCTCCAAGTATAATGAGTCCAGCTTCTCAAGGAATAGGGCGACTGCACTTTTTCATTCTTGCAAGAGACAATGTGGAAAAAGACATGAGATGCACACGAGGAACTTAATATAGAAATCAAGACTTCCTGACATTGGATTGAATGTTCACCAGGTTCCTGAAGTTGGCATCAATCTCTTTCCAGAGGTCTCAGGACTGAAGCATCAACAACATTGAAAGAATACCTCGAGGCATAAACACTGTTGATTGTGATGAGTGCGGCTGGGCGGGGGATAGTTGGCCAACAGCTACGGTAGCGAGGGGCTGGCTGTGCACCTCTGCAGCTGCATAGCAAGCCTCTTGCCAGATGAATCGAGCTGATTGGACACAAAGTGGTTGTTTGTAAAGCCCCAGAGAACCTTCCCACGTCCCAGCCCTGGGGCTGCTCACGGTATTTCCTCTGGCCTTCAAGTTTAAACCCAAGAAAACTGGAAAAATCCATCTGGTATGGGTTGATTTTAGAAATCTGGAATGTATGATCCTTTTGACAAAAGCAGAAACCAGATTTGGACTCTGAGTACTATATGTCCTGGGAAGTTGTAAGGCCCAAGATCTCATTTTTCTTCCAAATTGAACTGAGTTGAGGGGGGAATAAAAGGAATTGGATAGATGAGCTATACACTGTGCAAAATTCAGCCCCTTAGACCAGCAGCAGCATGTATGCACCTAGGATGTTTTTTTTGCTTCTGTTTTTTTTTTTAATTGGGAAAAGACTATAAATTAACTATGCTATCCTGATTCAAGCACACTTCTATCTCTTTAAAAAAATCTATCCTGTGTAAGAAACGTTTCACACAGTGGTTTTATGAAATATCTATACAAGGACACCTTCATCATATTTTAAAGATTTTGTAATATTAGAAATATTGTGTCTTTGAATATTCATGTGAATAGATGGAAACATTTTATTTTTTTTCAAAGTCCAAATTCACATGGCCTTTTTTTTTTCTTAAAATTTTTCATTTATTTTACATACCAACCACAGTTTCCCCTCCCTCCTCTCTTCCCATTCCCTCTTCCCACCTTCTGTCTATCCCCCCATCCACTCCTCCTCCATTCAGAAAGGGGCAGGCCTCCCATAGAGTCAACAAAGCATGTCCTATCACATTGAGGCAAGACCAAGCTCCTCCCCTTGCATCAAGCCTAGGCGAGGCATTCCAGCATGGGGAATAGGTTCTAAAAAGCCAGCTCATGGGACAGAAACAGGTCCTGATCCCACTGCTAGGGGTCCCACTAACAGACCAAGCTACACAATTGTCATCCACATGTAGAGGGCATAGGTTGGTCCCATGCAGGCTCCTGAGCTGCCGGTCCAGAGTCCATGAGCTCCCACGAGCTCAAGTCAGCATCTCTGTGGGTTGCCTTGTCATGATCTTGACACCCCTTGCTCGTACAATCCCTCTTCCCTCTCTTTGACTAGACTCCTGAAGTTTCATCCAGTGCTTGACTGTGGATCTCTGCATCAGCTTCCATCAGTTACTGGATGAAGGCTCTCTGATGACAGTTAGGGTATTCACCAATCTAATTACAGAAGGCCAGCTCAGACACTCTCTCCACTATTGCTAGGAGTCTTAGCTGGGGTCATCCTTGTGGATTCCTGGGACTTTCCCTGGCACCAGGTTTTCTCTTAACCCCCAAATGGCCCCCTCTATCAAGATATCTCTTTCAGCCAGGCGGTGGTGGCACATGCCTTTAATCTCAGCACTTGGGAGGCAGAGACAGGTGGATCTCTGTGAGTTTGAGGCCAGCCTGGTTTACAGAATGAGTTCTAGGACAGCCAGGGCAGCACAGAGAAACCCTGTCTTGAAAAACCAAAACAAACAAACAAACAAACAAACAAACAATAAGTATCTCTTTTATTACTCTCCCACTTGGTGCCATCCCCAACTCTACCAACCCTATCCCTCATGTTCCCACCCCCTACCCCACCTCCCCACCCTCAGTTTACCCCGGAGATCTCATCTATTTCCCCTACCCAGGGAAATCCATGAGTCCCTCTTAGCGTTCTCCTTGTTACCTAGCCTCTCTGGGTCTGTGGATTGTAGCATGGTTATCCTTTACTTTACATCTAATATCCACTTATGAGTAACTACATACCATGTTTGTCTTTCTAGGTCTGGGTTACCTCACTCAGGATAATTTTTTTCTATTTCCATCCATTTGCCTGCAAATTTCATGATGTCGTTTTTTACTGCTGAGTAGTACTCCATTGTGTAAACGAACCACATTTTCTTTATCCATTCTTTGGTTGAGGGACATCTAGGCTGTTTCCAGGTTCTGGTTATGAATAACGCCACTATGAACATAGTTGAGCAAGTGTCCTTGTGGTATGATTGAGCATCCTTTGGGTATATGCTCAGGATTGGTATAGCTGAGTCTTGAGGTAGATTGATTCCCAGTTTTCTGAGAAACCACCATACTGAGGAAACAGATATTAGCAGGCACACATCCTAATTTTATAAACCAAAAGTAAAAGTAAATAAAATAAAATAAAAGCTTTTAGTTAGTGTAATTTTTGTTTCATGATGGTTTCCAAATTTGAAACTGTGGCAAACTTAGGAGGGTGTTGATTTTTATTTTACTTAGTATAATAATAACAAATTGTTATTGGACCAGTCACAAGCAAGATAAATAACTATTTCTATGGCTAATTATGTGTATCTGGGTATGTTTTCTACTTCATCTCCCTTTTTCAGTTATTTAGTTATGACCTAAATAAATGGCAATAGTATGTATAAGTTTGGTTAGGTTAAAAATACTGATCACCACTGGTAGAATAATTGGCTTCATGTTTGGGTTCATTGTTTTGTGGTATATTTACTCAGCTCAGGTACTGACTCATTTTCTTGTTCATGTAATGGACAGTTGATGTCAAGATTCATGCTTTGGAGGTTTGGATGAGAGTGGCCCCCATAGGCTCATATGTTGGAATGCTTGGTCCCTAGTTAGTAGAAATGTTTGGGAAGGATTAGGAGGTATGGTCTTGTTGGGAGAGATGTGTCACTGGGGGTGGGCTTTGAGGTTTCAAAAGCCTACACCATCACAGACTGTTCCCTCTCTTTCTGCCTGCTGCCTTTGGATCAGGATATAAAACTCAGCTACTGCTCCAGTGCCATGGCCATCTGCTTCTTGTCAAAATGATCATGGACTAACCCTCTGAAACTGTAAGCAAGCTACCAGTTAAGTGACTTCTTTTATAAGAGTTGCCTTGGTCATGGTATCACTTCACAGCAGTAGGACATGTTAAATGGAGATGATAGATTAGCTACTTCTCTTGTTATCTGTGCTCACATACCCAGGGAGACGCAACTCCAGGAAGGCTCATTTTGGCTCACAGTTTGAGGCGATACAGTCCTTTATGGTAGATATGGTGATTTGTATTGTCAGTCAGACAGGAGATAAGTCCCTGGATTCATCTATAAGAGAGTTTCTAGATTAGGTTAATTGAGGTGGGAAAATTCACTGTGTCTAGCACCATTCCTGGACTGAAAAAAACAAAAAAGTGAGCTGAGCACTAGCATTCATCACTCACTGATTCTTGATTGTGGACACAAGGTGATGGACTACCTTGTGTTCCTTCTGCTGTGACTTCTCCAAAATGATGGACTCTGCCCTCAAACTCTGAGCCAAAATAAGGTCTCCTTCAGTGAGTTGCGTTTGACATGTATGTTGCTATAGCAATGTGGAAAGTAACCAAATGCAGCAGGGGAGCGGCAGGGGCATGAGGCAGCTCATCGCTTTGCACCCATACCCAAGAAATGGAGAGCCAATAGGAAATGGACCAGGCTGTAAAGCTTCAAGGCCCACCCTCAGTGACCCACTTCCTCCAGTCAAGCTTGGCCTCCTACAGGTTGTATGACCTCAACCTTAGGCAATCGCATCACCAGCTGGGACCAAGTATTCCAAAGCCAGAGCTTGTGGAGGCCATCTCACATGTAAACCGTAACAGGTGGTACCACACATCCCCTGCATTCCAGAAGAGAACAATTTGTGATGGGGGTCCAGGCTCATGAAAAAGGAAAAAAAGAACAAAGAAAAAAGAAAAGGCAGAACCTTGGCAACTGTATTAGTT